CGCCGGGAATGGCGCTGTGAAGGGCTTTGTCCGTTCCACTGGGCATTAGACTCCTCATCCAACAGCTGGGAAGCGCTTTTCCCCTTCCATCAGGCGTTAAACTCCTAATCCAAGAGCTGGGAAGGGCTTTTCCCATTCCATGGGGCATTAAACTCCTGCTTCTCCCTCCATCCCAGCAGGATTAGGGAATGTGGCCGCCGAAACTCCATCAATCCCGGTGAAGCGGCGCCGGGTTCCACTGGGCATTAGACTCCTCATCCAACAGCTGGGAAGCGCTTTTCCCCTTCCATCAGGCGTTAAACTCCTAATCCAAGAGCTGGGAAGGGCTTTTCCCATTCCATGGGGCATTAAACTCCTGCTTCTCCCTCCATCCCAGCAGGATTAGGGAATGTGGCCGCCGAAACTCCATCAATCCCGGTGAAGCGGCGCCGGGTGACGGCGGAGATGGAGGGGAAATACATCATCACCATGCCCAAAGGCACCACGCCGAGGACAAGGAAAATCCTGGAGCAGCAGCAAGCAGCCAAAGGTACCGGCGGTGGATTCCAGTCCCTGTATTCCCAATTCGTCCCAAATCCCAACCCCAAATCCCACCTTGGCCTGTTTAATCCCACAGGTCTGCCCAGGACGTCGGTCTTCGACCGGTTGGGAGCCGAGGCGAAGGGGGACACGGCTGCAGGAGGGAAGTTGAGAGGAGAGGAGGTGATCCAGGAGGGATTTTCCTCCTTGGAATTCAAACCTCTGGTTTTTGGGAATCCAGGAGGTGTTTTCCCTCCTCCCGAGAGAAGTGGAAGTTTTGGGAAGCCAAACAAGCCTCGTCCCCTCCAGTAATCCACCAGGGAACAGGATTTCCTGGGAGCTGAGCCCCATTCCCTCGTGGCTCGTTCCATGGCTCGTCGCATCCCAAAACTCCCCTTGGGAAAGGCGATGGAGCTGGGATGTGGGTGCTGATGAGTGCTGCACCCTTTGTCTCCAGCCCACCGGTGTCTTCAGCCGCCTGGGAGATTCCCTGAGGGATAAATCCATGGAAAGCGATGACGACGACGACGGCTCCGTCCTTCCGTACGCCGGTGTCCTGAAGAAATCCAATGTTCCATGGAAGGAAAGCGCCGAGCCGGGAATGCCGGTCAAGGCGAAAGCCACCAGCTCGGAGGTGAAGCCCATTCCCACCCCTCGGAATGCCGCCGGTGTCCGTCCGGCACCATCCCAAGCGGGAGAAGGGCGAGAGGCCGACGACGGCGTCAGCAGCAGCAGCAGCAGGGATAAATCCAAGCGGGAATGTCGGGTGATGATCCGGAGGACTTGGGGCTGCGGGAAGGTGAGCAGCACCAGCGATGCCATGATGGACAACGCCGGCTCCGTCAGCGTCTTCCAGCGCCTGGGAAAGAAAACGGATTGAGATCCATGGGATTCATCCGCGTCCGGGGCTTCCCCATCCCGGTTATCCAACGCAAGAGCCAGCGGAGACTCGATCCCATGGGATCGCCCAATAACAGCCCTGTGGGGAAAGGGTGAGCCCTATGGAGAAGGGGTTAATGCCATGTGGAAAGGGATTTTCCACAGGGAAAGGCTTAACCCAATGTGGAAAGGCTTTTAACCCCGCAGGGAAAAGCTTAACGCCATGCGGAAAGGCTTAATCCCACCAGGAAACATCCCATAGGAAAACAGCGGAGGGAAGATGGGGAGGGAAAACCCTTCCCAAGAGATTCCCTGCCCTCAGTCCGGGCGAATCCAGCCAAATCATCGCTCTCCATCCTTTCCCCACCACAAAACCCTTGATTTTCCCCTTTATTCTCACTTCTCCGACGGTTCTTTCCTGCCTTGAGGAATTCTTTCCTGGAGAACTCCCTGCCCAGGCTGGGTTTTGCCTTGGTTTGCCTGGTTTTCCCTTCCCCTGCAGCTTGCTTTCCCTGTATTTATGGATCCGCTCCGAAACGCCGCCCTCAGTGCTTCGGGAGCAGCCGCTCGCTGTGGGGTGGAATCCATTGGGATGGATTTCGGAGCAGCATTCCCGAAAAAACCCCCCAAACCCACCCCAAAACCTTAAAAAGAACCTTTTGGGGGGCTCAAAAACCAGCAAAACCCCCCCAAAACTGCCTTAATTCCCATGACGCCATCACTCCGGCCCCACTGGACATGGCCTTTGCCTGGAATTGCTCCTTTTCCCCCCAAATCCCGGGGGGTTTTCCTCAACTTATTTATTTTTCCTCACAAATCTGTTGCCTCCCAAAAATCTGGTTGCTTTAGTTCTGCTCCAAACCCCCAAAATGCCTTTTTTCTCCCCAAAATGAAGCCAGGGGAGCAGCGCTGGGAAGTTTGGGATGCAGAAATCCACCCATTCCTTTGGTTTCATGCAGAAAAATGGGATTTGTTCGGTTTAATACCAAAAATTCCCCAATTCCTTCATTTTTAATAGGAAAGCTCCCCAATTCTTTCATTTTTAACATAAAATTTCACCAATTTCTTCATTTTAATATGAAAATTCACCAATTCCTTTGCTTTTACCAAGAAAATTCCCTAATTCCTTCATTTTTACTAAGAAAATTCCCCAATTCCCTTTTTTAATGCAAAAAATTCCAAATTCCTTCATTTTTAATAGGAAAATTCACCAATTCTTTCATTTTAACACAAAAATTCTCTAATTTCTTCATTTTAATGTGCAAATTCACCAATTCCTTAGGCTTTGCCATGAAAATTCACAGATTCTTCATTTTTAATATGAAAATTCCCCAATTCCTTCATTTTTAACACAAAAATTCACCAATTTCTTCATTTTAATGTGCAAATTCACCAATTCCTTCACAATTCTTTCATTTTAACACAAAAATTCACCAATTTCTTCATTTTAATGTGCAAATTCACCAATTCCTTCATCTTTTAACACAAAATTTCACCAATTTCCTCATTTTAATTTGAAAATTCCTCAATTCCTTCATTTTTAATACCAAAAATCTGCCAATTCCTTCATTTTTAACACAAAAATTCGCCAATTTCATCATTTTAAGACGAAAATTCACCAATTCCTTAATTTTAATAGGAAAATCCACCAATTCCTTTGGTTTTACCATGAGAATTCCAGAATTCCTTCATTTTTAATCCAACCTTTCACCAATTCTTTCATTCGTAATGTGCAAAATTCATTAATTTCTTTTTTAACGCAAAAATTCCGCAATTCCTTCATTTTTAGCGCAAAAATTCCCCAATTTCTTGGGGTTGCCCAATTCGGGCCCAATTTGGGGGTGTTTTTCTTCCCGTTTCGGGCGTTTGGTGTGTGTGAAACGAGTGCTTTGGGGGTTCTTCCCCCCACTTTTGACCTCTTTTGGCAATAAAGCGTGTGGAAACGGCTCCGCTCTGCGTCTATCTATGCAAATCTATGCAAATCTATGCAAAGCGGGCGGGGCTTCGGCTCCTCGCTGCGCCTGCGCGCAGAGAGGCGGAACCGGGCTCTCCGCGCGTGCGCGCCGCCC